GAGATGAGAAGTTTTAGGAACCAGAAGTGGGCAATAGACAAGATAAGGACATGTCGGACAACAAGGCAAAAGAGGTTGTGTTTGGGGAAGGAGCAGAAGAGTCACGCTCCCTTCCATTCCCTATGTAGCTAAGGGACCGCCTACCCCCTTAGGCCCCATCATGATCCTTAACATCAACTGAGACCACCCTCCTGCATGTGCCATAAAGTTTGCTTGGCCAAAAACCCATGGGAGGTCATGTTCCTCCTCAGCTCTGAAATTCCCTCCCTCTTGAGGTCTGCCACTGCTGGAGCTTGGACATCTTCTGGAAGTACTGTGACCCATTCCTATTTGGACAGATGTTTAGCAAGCAATGCAGACCTCAAAAGGGAAGGAATTCAGAGCTGAGGAGAAACATGACCTCCCATGGGTTTTCTGCCAAGCAAGCTTTATGGCAATTGCAGGAGGTGTTCTCAGCTGCTTTTATAAATTATTTTGTTCTCTGAGCCTTTGCTGGGAAGGGCAGCATATAAGTCTAAGTCTAATAAATACATCAAGAAAAGAAATCTCTGTTGTCAGGAAATACCAGTGAAACCCAATGTCAAAGAGCAAGTCATTCCCTTTGGTTTGCAGAGGCCAAAAGCTACTACTGTTAGGTTACTTTGGTTCAAGTAGCTGTTGTTTACTACCTTTACCCATCACACACTGATGACACATATGGGTGTCAGTGATGCTGTATCATGGAATTTATTAAATTTACTTAGTTTTTTTGTTTGTTACAGAAGATACCCCTAGGAAATTACACACACTCTCCCTACCCCCCAATCATAAAAGAACATTTGGGCTGCAAAGTCATGCTTGCAGAATTCAGAAAATAACAGGATAAAGGTTGCCTGTGCAATCTGTTCTCACCTTTCTTGCATGTATATCCCTTGAAAAAGATATAGCCTACTGAACAGATCCAGCCCACAGTGCTGCCTCAGACTGGACCTGTACACTGCATGTGACATGCCCCTGACTAGGTCATGTGCCACACATGAAGCACCACAATTGGCATGCAGGACTGGTCTATGGGCCCAATCTGGCCTCATGTCATTTACAGCCCACAAAGCCTGATGAGTTTGATGACCCTGTTCTAAACTGTAAGTAGCATGGTATTCATTTGCTGATGCAATTTCAATTAGCACATTATAGAAAGAGACTTGTGATGAATTCCTGAAGGACATAAGAAAATTAGGGCAACTTGATAAGTAGATTAAGTTAAAGAAAAGACGTTATTGGCAATCTGCTTTTTTTGGCTGATGTGGCCAAGAATGATACCAATAAATGCCACGTGCATACGCGCAGCCAGCCCAGCAGCTTGGAGAGCAGTGTCTGGCTGGTAAGTCTCTAGAGGGGGAAGGGGAGGGAAGAGGG